ACGCGGCGCCCAAGGTGCGGGGAAGCAGTTCTCACAGACCCCCTTCGCCCCTCTCCCTCTCCTCTCCCTCTCCTTCCCTCTCCCTCTCCTCTCCTCTCCCTCTCCCTCTCCCTCCTCCATTCTCTCTATTATGTTAGCCGTATTACAAACAACTCAAGCGTACCGGGTTCCAGAGCGGCTTGAATGCGATGGCGGATGGTCGCGCGACGGCCGCGTGCGGAAGCAGTTCTCACAGTACCCCCTCTCCCCCTCTCCTATCTGTCTCTCCCCTCTCCCTCTCCCTCTCCCTCTCCCTCTCCCTCTCCCTCTTCCCTCGCTCCATCTTCTATGGTTAGCCGATCAACACCGTACGGGTTAGGATGCGGTTGAATGGATGGCGATGGTCGCGGCGCGTGCGGAAGCAGTTCTCACAGTACCCCCTCTCCCCCTCTCCCTCTCCCTCTCCCTCTCCCTCTCCCTCTCTCTCCCTCTCCCTCTCCCTCTCCCTCCTCCATCTCTCTATGTTAGCCGTACAGCAACGTACCGGGTTCCAGGATGCGGTTGAATGGATGGCGATGGTCGCGGCGCGTGCGGAAGCAGTTCTCACAGTACTTGAAGTCATCGCAAGCCTTGCAGCTGAACAGTGGTCCGCTGATCGGATACATATGACAACAAGTCGCACCTACAAATACACCACCAGCATCAGCGTTACAGAACTGCGCTGTACAGCACTAATATTACAGCTCTACTTAAATGCCGTAATTATTATATATTATAATATATAATATATGTATAGATGATCCGGATACATATGGCAACAGTCGCACTACAAATACACCCACCAGACTCAGCATTTCACGAACTGTACAGCCAGTCTTAATAATATGACAGCTCTCTAAGCCGTAATATATATATATATTAGTAATATATATATGTATAGCTGATTGAGGTACATGGGGCGCAACCGTCGCACTACAAACACACCACCAGCTCAGCATTACAGAACTGTACAGCCAGTAATATATACAGCTCTCTAATGCCGTAATATATATACATATATATATATATATATAGTATAGCTGATTGGGTACATGTGGCAACCGTTGCACCTACAATACTCCACCAGCTCAGCGTTACAGACTGCTACAGCATGTAATATTATATATAATTATATTTAATTAAATAGTATATATTATATATATAATATAGTATAGCTGCGATCGGATACATATGACAACAACCGTCGCCCTCTCACACCACCAGCTCAGGCATCTTCAGAACTGTACAGGCCAGTGAAATATATATATATACAATTTATTATTAATAAAATATATATATATTATATTATAGTATAGCTGATCGAGATACATATGAAACCGTTGCAACCTACAATACACCACCAGCTCAGCGTTACAGCAACTGTACAGCAGTAATCTATGAAATCCATCTAATTATTATAAATAGACTAGCTGGCGGTACCCGCTGCGCTGGGTAAAATCGTGCGCTACTAAATTCAATCTTTCTATAATGCGGACACAATAGGAAAATTCGGTAAAAATCGTACAATAACATTGCATTACAATATCAATATTTAGAACTCAGTCTAATAGTAATAAAGCATGCAGGGAAAAAACTGTTACGTTATATGACATTTCACATGACAGCACAACCCAACGTAGAACCCCGGACAATAATTAGTGATAATTAATTCATGGTATGTAAATGAACAAAAGTTATATATAATACGCTAATGTACGCAATTGGCGTATGGGACTTAATCATTTATCAACACGTCTGATAACAATGTTTTGTTCATGTAATTCTCTGGTGGAAATATGTAAGATTCCTGGTGTCTCGAACTGGTGAGCTCCCACGTACGGGCATGCCACGTATGCGCACGCTACGGCACGTTAACAGCATGTCCGAATGGGTTGCACTCTTTCATTTCAAAATCTGTTGATAAACAATGCAGTCGTAACTTCTGAACGCCGTCCGTGGCTAGTGCTTCTGTTTTAGTTATTGGTTTCGGATTTCGCAATACCGAGCAGATGATGAGTGAGTGAAATAGAAATAGTCAGCGATTTTCTTGATGTGGCAGCACTGTACAAGTGAGTGCTGACATTGTCGTGAAGATTCCTACGAATGACGGTGGTTCTTGACGGATTTTTCGGTGAGTTTTGACGGATTTGACAGGTTTTTTTCCAGTCTAGGAACATCCCCGGGTAATTAACAGATAGCCGTTTGAAAATTGCATCCAGATCGCACTTGGGCGGTTGGCCGCCTATAGGGAAGGATACATCATGACAACATATACATACTACATACATAACATACTACATACATACATACCTACATACTACATACATACATACATACTACATACATACCATAGCATCCTACATACATACATACGAAACTTAAATATATATTAGATGATATAATATAATATATATACATCTAATATATATATTTATAGTATAGTGATGGGTACATGTGACACAGTGCCACCTACATGACACACCAGCTCAGGCATTACAGAACTAGCTACAAGCCATAATATATTACAACTCGGCTTAATGCCGCTAAATACACATAATATAATATATATAATTAGTATATAGTCTAGCTGATTGGCGTAATGTGGCAGACCGTTGCCTACAAAAACACACCACCGCCTCAGCATTACAGCTGTACGCCAGTAATATATACAGCTCCTCTACATGCCGCTAATATATATTATATATATAATATTATATAGGTAGTATAGCTGATCAGGATACATATATGGCAACCGTCTGCACCTACAAATTACACACCAGCTCAGCAATTACAGAACTGTACAGCAGTAAAATATCAGCTCTTAATGCGTAATATATCATAATTAATAATATATAATTATATATATTTGTAATATTTGATAAAATTTCTAATATTGTAAAATTTGTCATTATTAACCCCTGCTATATATAGTATAGTTGATCGGGTACATGTGCCAACCGTCGCACCTGCAAACACAGCAGCAGCAGCTCTTGATTATTATTAGTATTATTATTAAATCTTTATTGCATGTAATTCAGATACAAATACATGTACTGACGACAGTTTTTTCATGGAGGAAAAATTATCACCATTACAGAACCGTATAGCCAGTAATATATGCATATGATACATAGAAGGTAATAGGTAGGATATGACCACAAACATGAGAGGGTTGCTTAGTTATTGGTTAAACACAAACATAATAGTTGCAGATGGAATGAGAGAGAGTTGCATGATATGCAACAATTGCTTCCTCAAAACAGCATGCCATGTTTGAACGTTGATAGCGTGGGTAGAGCGGTCACGTACCTGGTACCAGGATGGCTGCTCGGTACAAGCTCCAACTCTGACACCAGACCTGTCCAGATAGCTTGCTGCTGGAATTCTACCGTCACGTCCTGTCCGTTCGCACTGAAAGCTGCACAACGGGTTACCCATCGTTACACGTATAACAATTATAGTAATAATACAATAGTAAATTGATGTGATAACGATTAAAAATATACCGATTGGCATCACTGACAATTAAGTCATGTTATCCAGGTATATGGGGCTACAAAGGGGCCAGGAACTAGATAGCAGTAGACATAAAGGCAAATGTGAGAAAATACATTTTCACTCTTATGAACAGTAAAGGTCTCTCAAAACCATGAGAGATTTTTTTATCTTTTCATAACTTTTTGTTCTCCGTCTATGGATACACAGTGACCAGTTGCTATGAGTGGTTACAATTATTCGCTCCGTTACCTCGTATGGTGCCTATGCTTCGATGGGTGATGGCGCCCCATCTGTACTTCGGAGTGGCGACCGATGTTTTCACTCTCACTCTGTCTCCGACCCTTATGCTTGCTACAGCTGTAACGTAGCAACAAGACATGACATCACACATCAGTTATCATTGTTCTATATAGTTCTCATCGTTCTATATAGTTATCATTGTTCTATATAGTTATCATTGTTCTATATAGTTATCATTGTTCTATATAGTTATCATCGTTGTATATGGTGGCAACCACCCCTGCCGTTCGCCACTACATACAACATGGAAGAAAACTTAAACAATACAGAGAAGATCGCTCGGCTTTGTCGTTGGTCATGGTGAACACACCTACGAAGATCTTCTAGCCCACACCAATCTTCCTAGCTTAGGACTGGGGCGAGTTAAGACCATCCCTACAGAAGTGTACAAAGTTATACATGGACAAAGCCATGCCTCGTGTTGATATGTATCCTTTACCAACCTACCGTCATTAAATAAACTAGAAAGGGCAGTTGTCGCCAACTACATGTATCCCCCGTAATCTAGTATGAATGAAATATCTCTGTAAGGACGTAGAAGGTAGGTAAAGTTAAATAAGTGGAGATACATACAACATCGGAAGAAAACTTAAACACATACAGAGAAGATCGGCTCGCCTGTCGTTGGTCATGGTGCGCACCAACTACGAAGATCTTCTAGCCACACCATATTCTTCCTAGGCTTAGGCACTGGAGCGAGTTAAGACATCCCTACCGAAGTGTACAAAGTTATACATGGAACAAAGCCATGCCTCGTGTTGATTATGTATCTTTACAAACCTACCGTCTTAAATAAACATAGAAGGGCAAAGTTCGTCGGCCAACTATCATGTATCCCCGTAATCTAGTATGAATGAAATATGCTCTGTAAGGACGTAGAAGGTATGGTTAAAGTTAAATAAGTCACAAAGACAAAGGTTTGTTACAGTCAAACTCAGTCCTGAGATGTGCAAAGTATGTTAAATTGTTGGCGCTAGGGGTTTGTAGCGATCACCACCTCCCAGCAAGATGTGTAAGTATACGAAGTTTTGCATCGCGCTAGTGTCAAGTTAAGGGCCGAGTTATATGAGCGAAGGGAAATATGATGACTGGTCAATGGTCAAGGTCAATGTCAAATAAAGGTTGCAGTGATCTGGTTTCGGTACGCGACACACCTTCTCCTGGCAAGATGTGTAAGGAGACTGATTTTTGGTCATGCTAGGTGAATTAGGGGTCGAGTTATAGAGTAGAAGGGAAAGTGTCTGCAGCGGCGGCAGCGGCTGACAGACATGAAACGCATAGTAATCCCCACCGACTTCGTCGGCGGGGGATACAACCTAGTTATCGCCAGCGAACTTCGTCACGGGGCGATACAATAAGCTTATAATGTATAATATAAAAAATAAATATATCATTATGACATAACCTGTACCAATGTACTGTCATTAAATGAATAAATGAATAATTAAATCAATCAATCAATCAATCAATACAATGAAAGCGTCACTTACACGACGGTGGTAGATAGCCTAGCAGCTCGATGTGGATGTATCGCACCCAGTAGGTGCTACCTTTCCTCTGCCAGTCAACCTGTACGTTCAAGTCGTACAGGCCATCATGGTCCAGCTATAGAACACACACACACAGATATGCACATCACTCCCTCACAACCTGCATCAAGAGCATCCTTACTCCTGGCCTCACACGCCATGGAATCTCCCTTATCACTGCCTACTATCCCCTGCAATCGGAGGATTCCTTACTCCTGCCTGCTCTATCACAACCCTGCATCGGAGGATTCTCTTACTCCTGCCTTGCTCTATCACAGACCCTGCACTCGACGGAGTTCCTACTCCTGCCTGCTCTATCACACTGCCTGCATCGAGGATCCTTACTCCTGCCATGCTCTATCACACACCTGCATTCGAGGAGTCCATTACTCCTGCCTGCTCTCTGATCACAACCCTGCAATCGAGATCTCCTTACTCCGTGCCTGCTCTTACACAAACCCTGCCATCAGGATCCTTACTCCTGCTGCTCTATCACAACCCTGCAGTTGCGAGGATTCCTTACTCCTGCCCTGCTTATTCACAACCCTGCATCGAGGATCCTTCTCCTGCCTGCTCTATCAGCAAACCCTGCTCATAGGATTCCTTACTCCTGCCAGCTCTATCACAACCCCTGCATCAGGATTCTTACTCCTGCCTGCTCTATTCACAACCCGTGCATCCGGAGGAATTTCCATTACTCCGCTCCTGCATCTATCACAACCCTGGCATCGAAGATATCCTTACTCCTGCCTGCTCTATCACGAACCCTGCATCGAGGATTCCTTACTCCTTGCCGTGCTCTATCACAAGCATGCGTGATAGCAGGCCCACTACGTGGATACGAAAAGTGAGCACAGGAATTATGGAACAATAATGAACAGTGATATG